GATAGATATAAATAGATAGATAGTTGGATGGATGGACGGACGGACGGACGGGCGGACGGACGAACGAACAAATGAATGAATGAATGAATAAATGAATATAAATAAAGGAGAACTTACAAACCTGAGCGATATCGCACATATCGTGGGAGATTCGGTGAGAGGTGGGGATCATCCAGGTAGTGAGAGGTCGTGTTATTTAATGTCCCGCTTGGAAATACATGTTGGTTTGCGGTACGCCAATGTAAGCGTCTTAGAGGTAGCAAAAGTAGGCGCGGCGGCATCGGTAGCCTATTGGTTATTATAAGACTACCGGATTCGTAATCCTGAGATTGCGGATTCCGAGGTTCGAGCCTCAGCTCGGTCAAATATTGCGTCCTTTGGAACGACACTTTATACAACACGAATTTCATGTTTGGCTCTGTCAGACGTGCGTTTACCTCGGGAGTTCCTGCCTCTTGAACAACCTATTACAGTAGTGTTGATATTGGCGTTAAACCTATACCAATGGGTGGTTGGCGGGTGGTCTAGTGTTGTTTGCTCCTTCTTTCCTATCAAACATCTATCGTCCTTTTCTCCCCTCTTTCTCTTTTGTGTTTGTTACTCTCTTGTAAAACTTCCAATTTTCTGCACTTATATAACCTTATTGTGTTGCTAGTGCCGTAAAACTCTTACTAAAACTAAAAACTATACCATTCACTTTTTCAAAACAGGCGCTGGCTTGAAAAAAAAAGGTTTGGCAAGTCCCTTTCTAATCGCTAGTTACAGAGATAAAACTCGTCATGACTAATGGCATTTTTTAAGCATGTAACTTGGGAACTCTGTGTCAGTGTCAAGTGTCAAGGCCGGCTTTACCCGCAAGCGAACTTTGGCAAGGCACAGAAAGATACATGTAGTAGGATGAATTATCTAATGTTTCTAGTTAATGGCGTAGAGGTCAGCTGTTTGGGGTTTTTTTTCTTGTTATAGTTTAAAAGATGTAACAACATGAAAAATGGCCTCCCTGATAGAACTTACCAGATGTTTCTGTCCATCTGATTCGACGACGGGTCATAATGATATGTATGTTTCTAGGGGTGTTTTTTGTTCTCACAAATCCCTGTCTGTCTGTCTGTGTGTTACTTAAAGGTCTTACTACTTTTCTAACCCTCGTTTGTTTCTGTCTGTAGATCTTGCGCCCAAACCCACCGACTCTTGCACCATAAAAAATAACATCAAGGCTTTACTGTGTTGACATTTCTTCTCATTACTGAATTAACATAAAATGAAGACTCCTTATCATATTAACATTCTGTCATTCCCTCCACAGTTCGAGGCCACAACTACAACAACCACTGACCAAGTCGCTGCTTCATCGCCAGTAGCGAAGACAATCAGAAGAAGGAGCGACAAAGCAAACGAAGAGAGGACTTTTTTCGTTCCATCGTCACTGTTGTTATCATCAAATCGCGGCAGACGAAATAATAAGCAATAAGACGAAGAATATCATCGACGCCTGTCTTCCTCTTGGCCATCGATCGCCGACGACGAAGAAGAGTACTGAGCAATAATAAGAGTATCATCATCAACACCCTTTTTTCCGTTTCTTCGTCATCGTCAACAGCAACAATCGTACGCCATGTCTGGGGATGAGTCCTACGTGCTGGTGACGGGAGGGGCGGGCTACATCGGCAGTCACACGGTGGTAGAGCTGCTGGCCGCGGGCTACAGTGTGGTTGTGCTGGACAACCTGGTCAACGCCAGCATGGGTGAGTGAGTGAGTGGGTGAGTGAGTGAGGGGGTGAGTGAGAGAGTGAGTGAGGAAGTGGGTGAGGGAGGGAGTGAGTGAGGAAGTGGGTGAGGGAGGGAGGGAGTGAGTGAGTGGCTTGCTGTGTATTGCATGACGTAGGTAGAATTTTTATTTGCCTCTCTCTTTTCTCTCTCTCTCTCTCTCTCTCTCTCTCTCTCTCTCTCTCTGTCTCTCTCTCTCTCTCTCTCTCTCT